TTCCTCTTTTCTTTCTTTCTGTCTCTATTCTTCTCTCTTCCTTCCTCCTCCCAAACCTCTCCTCTTACCCTCTCGAGGACGTTAACTGTCTGATTCGTAGAATAAGCAAAGGAATAAGAGTCATTCAAGATAATAGATTTCATCCCGTGTAGTAGATTCCCTGAGTTCCAAAAAAAAAAAAAAATAAATAAATAAAAAGAAAAAAAAAGAAAAGAGAAGAGAGAAAAGAAAAGAAAAAGAAAATGGTTGGTTTATCGGTATAGGTAGAGCCTGCTTGGTATTAAAACGAAGTAATCAGCGTACGTGGAAATCGCATGGAGACGTTTCGCCGTGTAACGCTATTATAGTAAGAATCAGCTAGATCTCAATGATGACGATCATTATGAGAGATCTTAAAACGTTAATTTTCTCGTTATGTGTGACCAAATGTACATATGTGTGTATGTGTGTGTGTGAGCCCGCGGACATATATGTGAGAATGTACGTTTATGTATGTGAATTAGATAGATAGCCTTTATTACATCCCATAAGCGTTAAATTTTATGAAGTATATAATGAAAATAATATTATTCTAATGATATATAATAATTTTTTTTTCCTTATTTTACTCGGATAATATTTAATTTTAATAATAGTTTGATCAATTCTAAACGTATGAGTAAAAAAATTTCTAATATTACAAATTACGTTTCTTCTTTCTCGTACGTATGTATGTGTTGGATATAATATGAATTAATAATGATAACGACGATATAATAATTTTTAGAATTACTTGAACGACATTTGATTGTTACAAATTATTATAAAATAATCGAAAAATGAAGAAGAAATTTCTAAGGTAATCTATTTATATATATGTACATTTTTTTTGTTTCTTTTTTTTTTTTTTATCTTAATAAGAAATGAACGATGTGAAAATATAATTTAAACGTTGTTCTTATAACTTACATATAAACATTAGATGACAGTGTATATACAATGTTAAACAAGCATTGATAAAATCGATGAAGTGAACGTTAGAAAATGATTGCCGATTAGCGTTGAAGCAATAGGATATATTCATTGGATATTTCCTTTATAAGAAATACTTTTCGAATAATTTGACGACGATCAAATTCGATATATACGTGAATTTATCGAGCACCCGGTGTAATGGACAGCATCAGTCTGTTCGTGCGAGCAACACCGATGTCAATGACTTGAACCGAGGAGCCTTGACCGCGAACTTCTCTCTCACCTCTTGAGAAATCCTCGAGAAATTACGTCTGACCGAGCTCACGTCTTAGACTTGTCCCGTAAGATACTTACTGAAGTTCCGTCATTCTTTCCATTCGAATCCTATTAATGACTTGACTAAATTAGCTATTTCTCTTCTCTTCGGTATATATACCCATATTTCTTTCTCCAAATATATTAATTTGAAAGAAGAAGAGGAAGGAAAAATAATAATAATAATAATAATAATAAAACATTCTAAAACGTTTTAAACTCATGAACCTAGTGAATGACAAAAGTGACGAACAATCGATTCGAATTTTACTTAGAGGTAAACATTTTTTTTTTTTTGTATCATTTACTGGATTTAATCCAGATGTATACTGAATGTATCTAAATGTAATATTTTATAAAACGAATCGTAAATATTCATCTCAAAATAGTATTTAGCCCATAATTATCATAATACAGAATGTCTTTGGAAGTTCAAAAAGTGAAAAAGAAAAAAAAAAGAGAAAAGAAAGAAAGAAAAAAGATGAAGAGGGGGCGGGGGAAAAAAAAACTAAAAAGAACAGACACATTCGATCGTAAAATTCAACGAAACGATTTTGCGTTACACGAAAGTTCACTTTCGTAGCTCGCTAATTGCATTTATTTTCAAACTTAAAAGATTAGATGTCTCTTAACGCGATATAATTTCTTTTATTTTTTATCCCCGCAGAAGAAAAGACGGTATAATGGACACTTTATACGATTAACGAGAGCAAGGTATAAAAGCTTTTGGTAATGTATCGATCGGAAGAACGAAATGAAGTTCAGTTAAAGGATCGTGCACCAGTTGGTTGCTCGCACGAAGTAAAGACCCTCACGTTAGAATATATTCGTGACCGGTCTGGATTTGCATTCCTCCTCCAATCCAAGGTCTCCTGGCCCTTTTTTACGAGCTCGTCGGGTACGGAAAAGGGCCGAAAGAATCCCTTGGCTTCTTCTACCAGTTTCAACGACCGCTTCTTCGAAGAATTCTTCAAGCCATTCTTCGATAGAATGTACGTAACTACTCGACAAGTTTCTTTTTTTCTTCTGCTTCTTCTTCTTCTTCTTCTTCCTCTTCTTCTTCTTCTTCTTCTTCTTCTTCTTCTTTTTTTTATTCTTTTTTTTTTCTTTCCTTTTTCTTTTTTTTTTCTTCTTCTTCTTAGATGGGGATCCATACGTTCAAAAATAGTCTAACTATATTTGAACACATTCCATAAGTAAAATTATTAAAATATCTTATCCTTATCTGTAT